TTTTTTGTACGTCCCTTTCCGATACTCATCAACGCAGATAGAGAGTCACTACAAACTATTATTTTATTCCTATTTGTTTCCTCCACCCATTCTAAAGCTACCAAAATAGCACATAATTCTACTGCGAATACACTCAAATAATCTGATGCTCTTTTTGAAATACTAATCTTTAAATCAGGAATCACTATGGCTATACTGGTTGCTTCACTTTTGGGGTCTTTCGACCCATTAGTATAAATTTGCAAGTGGTCATTATATTTATTCTGCATTTGATTATAAAATTCTTGGCAAATATCTAGCGTGTTCCTTTTCTTAATATGTGTTAGTGTTCTGTCTACATTAATATATTGCCAAGTCCATGTAGGTCTCAAAGGCCACAATACAGTTGGACTAAATTCCTTATTATATACATTAAAAAATTTTGCTCTATCATCACCAACCCACCCAAAACTATCAATTTGTTTCTTTCCTTTTTCCCAACACTTTTCTAATACTTTCTTAACCGGGTGATCTGCATTATGTCCTTTTAAACTTATCCAATAATTGACCATTAGCTGCTGTCTTCTAATGCATAATGGCATTTCTCCTGACTSTACTTGTAAAGCACATATTGGTGTTGATCTGACTGCCCCTAAACAAATTCTCATTGCTCTGGCTTGAATAACGTCTAACTTTTTTAACCTAGTTTTGGCTGCTGATCCATACACCACACACCCGTAATCTATTCTTGACCTAATTAGTGATACATATACTGTATATTTTTTAGGGAATCAAAACTTGCACCCCATGTCAATCCTGTTAAACACCTCATAATGTTTAAAACCTTTTTACTTTTCTCTAGTTTTTTATCAAAAACTACACCCAAAAACCGAAACCAATCAACCCTTTCTAACTCTTTCCCATATAAATACAACTTTTTATCAACCCCTATTTTTTTTATTTGTGAAGAACACTACTTTTGTCTTTTCAATTGAAAATTTAAAGCCCCACTCTATCCCCCATTTACTCACTTTATTTCCTGAAGTTTAACAATAAGATGTTCCACATTTCTTCCCCTTTTCCATAATGCTCCGTCATCAGCAAAAAGTGACTTACCAAAACTGATAGATAATTCTTTTAAAATGTCATTTACCATAACTGAAAATAATGTTGGACTTACCACACTTCCTTGAGGTGTTCCATTTTCTATTTTACATAATTTCGAAATATGATATCCTATGTTAACTTGAATATTTCTATCCCGTAAAAAATCCCATATCCAATTAAACATATTACCTATACCTATCTGGTGTAATTTAATCATTAACCCTTCCCTCCAAAACATATCATGTGCTTTTTCCACATCAAAAAGCACAGCAACAACAGTTTCCTTATTAACCTGAGCTTTCCTAATGTCATTCTCTAAACATAAAATAGGATCTATTGTTCCTCTCCCTCTACGGAAGCCACTCTGATAAGGAGCAATTAAATGTTTTGACTCCAAATATTGTGTCATTCTCTCATTCACCATCCTTTCCATCAGTTTACACAAATTAGATGTTAAAGCTATTGGTCTATAGTTTCCAGGGTTACTATGGTCTTTCCCAGGTTTCTTCAATGGAATAACAATTGCTTCTTTCCACTTACAAGGCATTCTCCCCTCCATCCAAATCTTATTGTATAAAATTAATAATTTATTTAAAACTTCCTCACTTACACGTCTTAACATAATATAACACACTTTATCTTTACCTGGAGCACTATTCCTAGTTCTATCTAACACTCTTTTCAGCTCTCCAATAGAGAAAGGATAATTTATCAGATCATTATCATTCTTCTTTCTTCTTAAAATTCCATCATTTTCCTTTCTAGTTCTCTCCCTTCCRTCTATTTCATTAACTGATAAATTTTTCCCACTATGTATCTCCACAAATGTTCTCACTAACATATCAGCCTTTTCCCTGTCAGTTACAGCTACTATATCATTTTTATTTAGTATAGGATAACTCCATTCCCTTCAATCTCCTCCCATTTTTTGATCATCCCCCAAACATCCCCGTTTTGTACTATTGCCAATTGTGTCACAGAAACCTCTCCAAAATTCTCTTTTTGTGCTTCTTCTTGTTCTCCTGACTTTTGCTTTTTATTTTCAATTAAATGTTGAAAATTATGAGACCTTTTAACCAATTTAAATGCTTTATTTCTTTCTTTAACTGCTTTCCTACACTCATCATTCCACCATGGAACTAACTTTCTTCTATTTTTCCCTGTTGTTTTTGGAATGGACGCCTCAGCAGCAGTTAAAATACCCTGACTAATCTCTCGGTTCATACTTTCAATACTCTGATCATTTTGAACATTTAAAATTTTTTCTATCACATAAGTTATAAAATTCTTCCCAATTTGCTTTCTCAAATATCCACTTTCCTYCTATCATTTCAGTACTATGCACCTGGCCCACCCTTATTTTGCTGATTATAATGTAGTGATCACTACCAAACGACTTATTTTTAACTTGCCAGTCACATAATGGAGCTAAACAGCTAGAAACAAATGTCAAATCTAAYACAGATTCCTTACCTGAATTTATATCAATTCTTGTTTTCTTACCATTATTCAAGCAAACCAGATTATTACTATCTAAAAATTCTTCTAAAATTTCCACATTGCAATCTACCTTTCTACTACCCCATAATGAATGATGTGCATTAAAATCTCCACACCAAATTACATTTCATTTCATATCTATCTCGTCAAGTTTGCTTAACTCAAGCTTTTTACAAGGATTGTAAAAATTTATAATCAACATTACCTTCTCTTCCACCCATATTTCAGTTGCAACATACTCCAAATCTCCTTTCCTTCCAATAATTTTATACGGAATACCTTCCTTAATCAGAGTAAGACACCCTCCCCCATTTCCTTCTTCTCTTTCATATCTAACTGCAATATATCCATTTACTTTGAAATCCAAACAAGGCCTCAGCCAAGTTTCYTGTATACAAATTATATCAGGTTTTTCTTTTGATTCATAAATAAACTGTTTAAAATCTTGCCCTTTTGACAAAAGACTCCTCGCATTCCATTGTAAGATTGAGACTATCCTTCTTGACTTGCTTGACTACACAGCTCTCCTCTTATGYCTTCCCACCTAATATTCTTTAAGTCTAAACTATGGCATGCTGCCTTCACAATAATCTGAATCCTTTCCGTTTTTGATTTCACGTCCGATGTTGCATTTATAACTCCTGCAATAAAAGTCACCATTTTCTATTTTTCCTCTTGTATTTTCTTTCCCGCGTTAGTGCCTGAATGTCCACCCGTCTGCCAGCCCCCCGTCCGCCTGTCTTCCCGCCCACCCGCCTGATCGACACCTTGCTGCCTGCCCAACCGCCCTCCCCGGTTCAAGCGTGCCTGCCTACCAGCCCGACCACCTGCCATGGTGAGTGCGTGCGTGCCTGTCTGTCTGCCCGCCCCCGTCTGCCCTTCCTCCCGCTCAAAGCCTTGTTGCCTGCCCGACCGTCCACCCCCTGACATGTTGCGTGCGTGCCTGCCTGCCTGCCTGTCCGCCTGCCCCCGTCCGCCTGTCCTACGCCTTGCTGCCTGCCCGCTCGCTCGCCCATCCACCTACATGACGCCTTGTCGCCTGCCTGTCCGCCCGCCCCAGTGCAAGCGTGCCTGCCTGCCTGCCCGACTGCTGCCCCGGTACGTGCGTGCCAGCCTGCCTGTCCGTCTGCCCGCCCCCTGTCCGCCTGTCCACCCGCCTGCCTGAAACCTTGCAGCCTGCCCGACCGCCCTCCCTGGTTCACGCGTGCCAGCCTTCCTGCCCGTCCGCCTGCCCGCCCGTAAGCCCGTCCGCCAGCCCGACACCTTGCTGCCTGCCTGACTGCCCGACGCCTTGCAGCCTGCCTGTCCGCCCGCACCCCGTCCGCCCTTCCTCCCTCCCGAAGCCTATTGCATGCCCGACCGTCCGCCCGCCCGACATGTCGGGTGTGTGCGTGCCTGCCTGTCCGCCCGTCCACCCGCCCCTCTGTCAACCTACCTGCCTTTCCACCAGCTCGAATTCTTGTTGCCTGGCAAACTGCCTGCCCGACCGCCCGCCCCGGTTCAAGTGTGCCTGCCTGYCAGCCCGACCACCTGCCCCAGTGCGTGCCTGCATGCCTGCCTGTCCGCCCGCCCCCCGTCCGCCCTTCCTCTCGCTCGAAGCCTTGTTGCCTGCCTGTCCGTCTGCCCGCCCGACATGTTGGGTGTGTGCGTGCCTGCCTGTCTGCCCATCCACCCCCCCGTCCGCCCATCTGCCCGTCCGCCAGCTCGAATTGTTGTTTCCTGCCGAACTGCCTGCTACCTACCCGACCGCCCGCCCCGGTGCACGCGTGCCTGCCTGCCTGCCCACCCGTCCGCCTCCCGACACCTTGCTGCCTGCCCRACCGCCCGCCCCGGTTCAAGYGTGCCTGCCTKCCAGCCCSACCACCTGCCMYRGTGCGTGCGTGCRTGMCTGCCTGTCCGCCCGCCCCCCGTCCGCCCTTCCTCTCGCTCGAAGCCTTGTTGCCTGCCCGACCGTCCGCCCGCCCGACATGTTGGGTGTGTGCGTGCCTGCCTGTCCGCCCGTCCACCCGCCACCCTGTCCGCCTACCTGCCTGTCCGCCTGCTCGAATTGTTGTTGACTGCTGAACTGCCCACTAGCCGGACACCTTGCTACCTACCCGACCGCCCGCCCCACGCGTGCCTGCCTGCCTTCCTGCCCACCTTTCCGCCCGCCCAACACCTTGCTGCCTGCCCGACCGCCCGCCCCGGTTCAAGCGTGCCTGCCTTCCAGCCCCACCACCTGCCATGGTGCGTGCGTGCGTGACTGCCTGTCCGCCCGYCCCCCGTCCGCCCTTCCTCTCGCTCGAAGCCTTGTTGCCTGCCTGTTATTCTGCCCGCCCCCTGTACACCTGTCCACCCACCCGCCCGACACCTTGCAGCCTGCCCGACCGCCCTCCCTGGTTCACGCGTGCCAGCCTTCCTGCCCGTCCGCCTTCCCGCCCGTATGCCCGTCTGCCCGTCTGCCCGCCCGACACCTTGCTGCCTGCCCGACTGCCCGACGCCTTGCTGCCTGCCCGACCGCCCGCCCTCCTTTCAAGCATGCCTGCCTACCAGCCCGACCACCTGCCCTGGTACGTCCGTGCGTGCGTGCCTGTCCGCCCTTCCTCCAGCTCGAAGCCTTGTTGCCTGCCCGACCGTCCGCCCGCACAACATTTTGGGTTTTTGTGTGCCTGCCTGTCCGCCCGTCCACCCGCCACCCTGTCCGCCTACCTGCCTGTCCGCCTGCTCGAATTGTTGTTGACTGCTGAACTGCCCACTAGCCGGACACCTTGCTACCTACCCGACCGCCCGCCCCGGTGCACGCGTGCCTGCTTGCCTGCCTGCCTGCCCGTCCGACTGCCCGCCAGACACCTTGCTGCTTGCCCAACCGCCYGCCCCGGTTCAAGTGTGCCTACCTGCCTGCCCRACCACCTGCCCCGGTGCGTGCATGCGTGCCTGCCTGTCCGCCCGCACCCCGTCCACCCTTCCTCCCGCTCGAAACCGTGTTTCCTGCCCGACCGTTCTCCAACCCGACATGTTGGGTGTGTGCGTGCCTGCCTGTCAGCCCGTCCACCCCACCCCGTCCGCCCGCTCGAATTGTTTTTGCCTGCCGATCTGCTTGCTAGCCCGACACTTTGCTACCTACCYGACCGCCCGCCCCGGTGCAYGCGTGCCTGCCTGCCCGCCCGTCCACCCGCCCACCAGACACCTTGCTGCTTGCCCGATCGCTCGCCCCGGTTCAAGTGTGCCTGCCTGCCTGCCCGACCACCTGCCCCACTGCGTGCGTGCGTGCATGCCTGCCTGTCCGCCCGCCTCCTGTCCGCCCTTCCTCCCGCACGAAGCATTGTTGCCTGCCCGACCGTCCTCCCGCCCGACATGTTGGGTGTGTGCGTGCCTGCCTGTCTGCCCGTCCACCCCCCCGTCTGCCTATCTGCCCGTCCACCAGCTCGAATTGTTGTTTCCTGCCGAACTGCCTGCTACCTACCCGACCGCCCGCCCCGGTGCACGCGTGCCTGCTTGCCTGCCCACCCGTCCGC